CCTCCCAGACCCCAGAATGGGATAAACTGAGGGAAAGCGTATAGATGTTCAGTCTCCTAGGGAATACTCTCTCAGGAACAAGTTAACTTAACCCTGGCTATTTCCAAGTTATTTTTCTCCTGAAGCAGACATTTTTGCTTTGGGAAAAGAAAAAACACAAAAACGAACTTGACCATCTGTACACCTTCAGTTTCTACCTGGAGAACAGCAATTCTGATAGAAAATGAAAGTCTGTACCTGGCCTTGAGTTATGCCTATTTGTCCTGAAAGTGGATCTATTGTCCCCGGAAAGAGAAGAAAATCTCACCCAGCTATTAGATTATACCTTTACACTTACCTTCTCTTCCCTGTGTTTAAACAGACCAGGTTTGATATACCTGAGGAAAAGAGTCACAGCTCTCTAATGAAGCTGCTTAAAATAACCACCCTATCTCTACCATTACACCATAAAACATGCACCTTTTTGTTATTTGTTAATCTGTGTTATCCTTAATTGACAAAAAACATAAAAACTTCATAAATAGGCTTTCAGAACACTCTGACTGCATCATTACCACTCCATCATTAAGAAACTTTATAAAAATTGCAATTTACACAAATTCTGAGGTTATCTGACTGGAAGGGTTACTTTTTAGTGTGGTTTTGGAGAAGTTACACATGAGACAATTAAAAAGACTCTTAACACCCTGCATTAGCTATAAGATACAAACACATTATTTAAGTCAGGGATGACCAATCTATCATTTGAGAGCCATAAGTGGCACAGGCAGGCTGTGTGTGCAGAAAATCAAACAGGGAGCAGAGGGCAAGGAGCAGAAGCCAGAGCAGTAGATCAAGAAAGGGAAAGGGATCACAGTGACATTTGATGAGGAAAGGCTAACTTGTGACACACCTGCAAAGAAGTTGGCTCTCACTTATCTTAAGTAATATATTAACAACCAAGACAGACACACGTACTATTTTAGCTGAGATTTCAAAAGGATTATTGAAGGAAATACATGTATAATTACTCAACTGGTGAACTGATTATTAAGAGCAGGGATAGACAACCTGTGACATGTCCCAAAAGTGGCATGGACCATCTCTGTGTGTAGCACATGACAGATCAGGGAAGGGCCAGGCAGCACAGTGGCAAACAGGGTAGGAAGCAAAAAACAGAGCAGCAGATCATGCAGGGAGCACAGGGCAGGACTGCAGATTGGGCAGGGGAAAGAGACTGGAGTGACACTCAGGGCTTAATTTGGGGCACGACTGGCAAAAATGCTGGCCCCCACTGATTTAGACTGGATTTTCAAATTCTCCGCTCTTTCACCTGGAAAGGGATTACGAAAATGTAAATCAAGTTAGGTGACTTTGGACATCATTAAGTTGGTATGAAAATACACCACACCTTCAACAGGAATCATTTGAACAGAAACTGGAATTTCCCACTGTTCCTTGTAGTTCAGTCCATGATTATTCAGCAAAGTAAACAATGATCGACTACTTAAAACTACTTGAGGATGATATTTCAAAGCAAGTTTTTCTGCATTAGGATCTGAACTAATATCCTAAAAAGAAAGAAATGAACAAATGAAATTCAGAATTACCACATACTTCCTACAATATTCAGACATAACATCAGGGTGAGATTTAAAAAGAAAAGCTCGGCGAACCCTGTATGTATTTTCCGAAACCTAAACACACATCAGACATCTTGTAGAACAAAAGTTCTCTGTTATGTCTTTTGTCAGTTTTTCTTTCTAGGAATTTCTGTGAATAAAAATGGATAAACCCAAACACATATTCTATCTATACAAAAGACTTCAATTAGTACTTTGGCCCAGATGCATCTCAAATAAAAGCACATAAGACAATACAATGAAACATTCATTTCAATTAAAGGAGCACTGCTTCTTCTTGATCATTGGAATACTAGAAAATGTTCTTATAACTATGACTTAAGTGGATGTCTTGCAGATCTATTAATAGCACTAACAACAGTTCCCAGATGAAAAATCTTAAGGTGAAGTTAGAACTGCAAGCAAGAACAGGTGGTTTAAAAGCAGAAATATTAAACAAAATATTTAAAAAAAAACCTGCTACAAGCCCATGACATGCAGCATTAAGATTATGAAATTTGTAAGCAGTTATGCTTGGGGGGGAGAGTCTCCATGAACCTTAAAAACCTTGGTGATTGTTTTTGAGTGGGTTGTCTTTCCACATGTTACATGGGGAAAAAAAGCTCTTCTTAGAATTGAGTAAACATGGTAAAAAATGTCAACAGTCTGTGAATGGAACAATTGTTTCATATCTCTGTTTATGGACGAATGCTAACAGCAACCACAAATATCTGTTCAATGAATACATTTGAAAGCATCCTAAGGAATTCTGTAACCTAGAAATTTAATTCAAATTCTCTGGCAAACAGATTCTTACGAAGTTAATAAAAATCTTCTCAAAATGGAAAAAAAGTAGGGCTGTCAATTAATTGTAGTTAATGCACACGATTAACGTGTTAATCAGTTCTTGAGTTAAGTTTTTTTAATGTGTTAATTGTGCATGTGGTTTTGGAGCCCACACCCAGGCTTTGCTCTGCCGCCCCGGGCTGCCCAGTGGTGGCAGCACAGAGGACCACAGGGCAGCTTGAGCGTGGGCTCCAGGGGCTGCAGCTGGGTTGGGGGAAGGGAGGGGGGAAGCCCCTATGGTAAGGGAGGGAGAGGAAGGGAGAGGGGCAGGAGCAGGTGCTGGGGTGAAAGGGACCCCATGGTGGGTCATGGGATGGAGCTATGGGAAGCTCATGCAGAGGTGCTGGGGAAAGGGGAGGGCATGGCTCCCCCCTCCTGCGTGCAGCCCTGGAAGTATGGAGGGCATGTGACCCCCAGATCTGTGCATGGGGCGGAGGCAGGCTGCCTGCTGCAGGCTGGAGCTTTGCGCTCTGCTGCCTTTGCCCCAGGAGCTGCACACTGGCCGCACTGAATGTCCCCTGCCTGCCTGGCAGAGGGAGGCATAAAATAGTGTCACGTGGCTCCCAGGAAAAAGAAGGAGGGTGCAGAGCCCCAGCCTGCCTCTGCCCCACACACAAATCCAGCAGGCACATGCTCCCCATGCCTTCCCCAAGGGTATGCACAGTGGTGGGGAGCCACCCCCTCTCCCCACCCCAGACTCCTGGACGAGCTGCCTGCAGCTCCATCCCATGACCTGTCCCAGCCCTGGGTGCCATTCACCTCAGCACCTACCCCTGCCTCTCACCATGGGGGCCTCTATATGTGCCCCCCCACCCCTCTCCAGACTTACCATCATAGCACTGTCTGCGTATGCACGTGTCCACCCCTCACTCCCAAGCCACATCCCCCCCAGCCCTGATGCTACTGCCCCTCACTCCTGACCCACAGTACCCCACATCCCACCAGGGTGTGTGGGGACCCCTTATCCCCAGGCTCCAAATCCCCCCCACACATACCCCATCCATACAAAATACATGCATAATTTTAAGTTTTTAGCCATGCAATTGTGATTAATTGCGACTAATTTTTTTAATCGTGCAATTAATTGCAATCACATTTTTTAATAGTTTGACAGCCCTAAAAAAAGGTCTCTCATTGTCCTTTGTGTAGTCTCTCTCATATACACACACATACATGTATGCTTGTGTATGTGTGAAAGAAAGACTACAAGTCTGGGTGTACAAGTATAAAATGACTGGTTTTGTTTAGTATGCATTAGCCAAGTATGAAACTGCAAAGGTAAATTTTTAAAACAGAAATTTTCAAAGACATTTGCCTATATTTTCACTTACGGGTAAACATGTATTTCAGCACTTTTATTAAGGAACTTGCCCAAAGAAGTATTTAAAAATGAGCACAACAAAAGAACTGTAAAGTATACTGCAACCAACGGCTCTATCTAAATTCACTAGAAATTACAGATGGCTGACTTGTCAAATTCTCATGTTCTTACCCAATGTACAGTGAAATGAATGGAAATCGTCCATTGACCTCATTAGGCACTTTATCAAGCCTATATACTGCATTGTTCTCCCAACATTAAAGACAGACAAGAATAATGTATCTATATTTTCTTAATTATATGTTTATGATTAAAAAATAGATTACTCACATTATGCATCACTGAAGCTCTCTGTTCTGGAGTCAGGAGAGATGCTACAGTTTTATAATCTTTCTGTAGCTGTGCAGGCATGACAGGAAATCGTACTTTAGCAAATTTAGCCTTTCCCTTGAATAAAAAAAAAACAAACCCAACTTTATCAGGCCTTTATAATGGTGTCACTGATGAAATATTAGCGTTTTAGAATGAAAATATTATGGTCTACAGAAATACTTTATTAATATATGACCATATTTTTAAAACTATAAATATAAAATAGTTACATTCTAATTTCCAGGATAATTCAGTTAATTAAACCTAAGCAACGTGTTTCCAAGTTGTAACCTGTAGTTTAAGCATGGAATAACAGTCACAATTATCCTAGCAAAACATAATGAAATACATCTTAAATTGTTTTTCTCTAAACAAGTATACATATTTATAGAACGTTACCAATACAAGAAGACATTTTTCCAATTTAAAGCTCAGCTCTGTGTTAAATTTGCCTCCCATGATACTGGTGATCTCTTGGAGCATGTAAAACTCAGGGTACTTCTTCACGTGTCCAATACGTGCACTCAATAGTTGCTAGAGACAAGAAAAATAAAAGCATTAAGCAGTCCAACTACCAGTATGTTCCTTGACAGTTTCACAAAAATTAAAATATATTTTGAACACAAAGCAGTTACATTTGCTCATATTTTTACTTATGAAAAAACATTTATTTCACCCATTTCTATTAAAGGCTTTGTTCAAGGTAATTTCTTATTCCTTTTAGTAATTCAGCTACACAAACTGCTATAAGATACAAAAAGAAAAATGGAGGCCGAGGGGAAGTTTTATTACTGTTATTTTTAAAAGCACTGTTTTTTTAAGAGAGGTCAACTTTCATGACAGAGCCAGACCAACAGAAGGCTCAGAATCGAAAGACACAAGGCCTAGATTCTATTCATCTATTGCTGGCTTGCTAAGCTATGCTATATAAGGTAAAAAGTCCAGATTTTTAGAGACTGGCATTACAGGTACAAATGACACAATAGAGCATATTTTCTTGCGAACAACACACACCTTTTTTCCAAAACAATCAGCTGCTGGGAAGTGGGGTGCATGATTTAACTGACTAAGTATTGTAGCAGCAATTTCTGCAGAAGGAAGCTCTGCTCAGGGAAAAAAGAATATAACCCTGCACTTACCACAGGAAGCAAGTGTGGCTCCCCAGCTGCTGGCTGTGATCAGTGGAAGCCTTTTCCATTTAGGCAGAGGCTGAAGCTACAGAAGCTGACTGGCTTGGTTCTGCTGTATTTCTAAAGCAGAGCCAAGGCCCAGGCTGAGTGGCCTTCAGTTGACTCCACAGGTGCTGCTGCGGGCTGCCCATTCAGCTCAGCTTGAGAACAGGAAAGTGGCCGGGCCACTTGGCTCAGGCAGCAGCACACCCAATTTTGCTCCCACTTACTGCAGCTGCCTGTGCTTTCCCTATGAAAATACTAATACTTGTCAGTAGTTTCAAGGAAAAATCCTTTTTTTTTTTCATTCTGTGTTTAAAAACAAGGCATGCTTCATGCAAAAAATACAGTGATTATTTGGAAGTCTAAGTATTTGGTACTGCCCACAAATCAGGTACACAACATTTGCGGCTGCAAAAAAGCACATTGAGGCTGGGCTTAAATCTTTCAGGTCCTCAGTTTCTTCAATGGTAAAATGCACGAAGCTATACCATATTACAAGGCCACTGATTTCTGTAAAGACTCAGGTTCTGATAAAAAGTAAAAGAACATGATTTTTTGAATGAATGGGGGGTGTGTGCACATAAAAAACACTCTTATTGCTATGAGCACCCAGTAAATCCAGTGTCATCATAAAAAAAATCAAATTTGAACGAATTATATTCTAAGACGTTTGAAGAAGTAATTGGAAAGTGTTGAGTATTTTGTAGTTCTTAAGCAGAGAGAACAATTAAAAGAGCAGTGTAGTTTTCAGATTCAGAAATGTATCAAGGGAGGGTACAAAAAAATTAAACATCTGTTAAGATCATGAAAATGATACTGGTAACATTGGCACAATTTAAAAACATTTGTGTGTGTGATGAAAATTATTAAGAGCAGTGAATACTGATTGATTTAAGCAAAGATAGGCCAAATCACTTTCAGGTTAATTAACTAACTAATTCTAGCTAAAAGGGAGGCGTACACCCAATGGAAGGGAGGGGCCATCACCAGGGAGGAATATACTGCAGTTGCTCGGGGATGCAGGGGGCAGTCAGGAAGGCCAAGGCAAAGATGGAACTGGGACTAGCTTCCCAGATCAAGGACAACAAGAAGTCATTTTTTAAATACATGGGGGCATAAAGAAGGTACCGGGTAATGTGGGGCCCCTGCAAGACATGCTAGGAAATTTGGTCGTCACACCAGACGACAAAGCTAACCTATTTAACGACTTCTTTGCCTCCATTTTCCTAAGCACGGACCAGATCAACCCCCCCATTGGGCCCCCCTCAGGCCCCAGGGGAGGCGCACCTAGGCCAAGGGTCAGGGAGGATCTAGTCAGGGAACTTTTGGAGGGACTGGATGTATTCAAATCAGCTGGTCCAGATGATCTCCACCCCAGAGTGCCGAAGGAATTAGCAGAGGTCATTGCGGGACCCCTGGCACGGTTTTACGAGCACTCGTGGTGCTCTGGTGTGGTGCCAGAGGACTGGAAGAGGGCCAATGTGGTTCCCATCTTCAAAAAA